GGGGGGATTTATGACAGATCATGGCTCGAGTGAAAAACAATTGTAGCCATTATACTGACCTTTATTAACAATTCCCCGGATTTGAACGTGTTAGCAGGGATATCTATTTCCGCTTCTGGTTCCACATCTGGTTTGAGTATAACCGCCTCATTAGAGATTTTTAAAACTTCCTTCTTCTCCCGTGTTGCCATGGCAAATCGGTAAATACCAGAAGACGTGATTGGAACGGTAAGTGTCACCTTCGTCACCTACACAGGCATTGCAGAATCATAAATTACTTCAGTTTTAACGATGATGTTACCTTATTTTAAGCATATACACATTAAAAGTTAAAAAAAAACATTGCAATGAACTTGTTTAAAACATATTTTGAATGGCTGCCTTTATTAATTGTAGTTAACTCACTTATTAAGCAAATGTAAACATTTAGCACATACACCCCCCCCCCCCCCCCAAAACAAACCACCCCTCCCTTTTACAATGTAAACCTCAAGTGCCAAATACTCGATACCTCTGTTCCCTCGATCTCGACTGCTTCCACGTTGTCAATGCCGCCCGTTTTTGTCGCTGGCCGAAGGACAACTTCCTCATTTTTCCGGAGAGCTCGATGAACGGTTAGTGTAAGGGTGATGGTCTTGTTCTTGGCCCCCCATGTCTGACATTCAAGTAGATGTCCGAACGCCTTCTCTTCCGTGTCAAGTGTTGGTGGGTTGCCGTACGCTTCCTCTGTCTGGCTCAGATACAAGACGTATAGTCCCTGACCCTCAGGCACTTTCACATCCACGCCCGTTTTCTCAAGTGTTACCAATACCTCCCCTGGGGCGATCACTGCCACATCGAACCGTATCGCTCTGTTGATAACAAGAAAAAATGACAAAAAGGCTTAATTGTGTTATTTCGTTTACCATATCGCAGCTCATTTAAAATCATTTAGCAACTCTTTTCGGTTTTGTAAGGTTTCCTTAGGTCACTGTACCGTCGAATTGCTACTATGAAAAACGAGAAACTCCTGTAGGGTAAAGAATATTTCTGATGAATATTATATCCCTGTGCGCGTAATCGCAATAGGCGACTAATTTGGACCCCTGCAGAGTGTTTCTTCTGTGTCCTCTGCTAACATTTCTTTTTCACTTTTCTTTTCTTTTCAATGGTCTCCCCCTAGGCACCCGTCTTCATGTGACCTTAGCTGCTGTGAGGACATTTAATTCCATAAAGAGAATAATTATAAAGCTGTACTACTGCAATATATCGGATACTATAAGTTATAATATTCGGTATTATGTCATCGATAACCACCAGAGAAGGTAATACACGTGGTCGGGTAGGTGACCCCATACCTTTAAACTTCTGATCGGGGAATTGAACCCCGGTCGCCTTGGTGAAAGGCAAGTGCGATATCCACTGCGCCACCCGACCACCCAGTTTTCCATTTATTCCTCTCCTAGATTGAGTTATAATTTATTTGAAAATGTATTGCTATCCGAGGATTATTTTTTGTTCATCAAAATGACCACCCCATGAATTCTTAGTATAAGTAATTTGACTGACTGTTATGATCTCAAGTCCGCAGAGGATAACGACCCCTACGTAATAGCGTAATCCTTATAATGAAAAGGTGTCACCCTTACCAATTCCGTATTCCTTATAAGGAAAAGGTGTCACCCTTACCAATTCCGTTATCATTATAAGGAAAATTTGTCAGCCTTACCAGTTACATAATCATTATAAGGAAAATTTGTCACCCTTACCGGTTACATAATCCTTATAAGGAAAATACGTCACCCTTACCGGTTACATAATCCTTATAAGGAAAATGTGTCACCCTTACCGGTTACATAATCCTTATAAGGAAAATATGTCACCCTTACCGGTTACATAATCCTTATAAGGAAAATATGACACCCTTACCGGTAACATAATCCTTATAAGGAAAATACGTCACCCTTACCAATTACATAGTTGTAAACGCCGAGTTACAACTGTATTAAAAAGTGTTGACAATTTGTATATTATTCCTTTTTTGTTTTTAGATAAAATTTACCTTCGTCTTTGATATATTTTTAAGTAGTGGTGTCTTTCATTGGCGATCATTGGACAACCCTAAGTATTAAATATGTATAAAATCTCGGGACGTTTCTCCTATGCGTCTGATCTGCCCCCACCCACCCCCTTATTTTAACTACATCATTTCTTTCCTCATTTCCTTAATCTCGGAGGTGACCCCTTAGGCACACGAATTAACACGAACCTGACTGTACACAGAGTTTAAACCCCATACAAATAAACTCAAATGCTACGAAGACCTTTCATTTAGCCATCAGTTGATTAACGATACGGCAGTGTACGTACCCATGTTTATATCCAGACATGCACATGAGCTGCTGCTTTAGAATTTTAGCAATTGCAAACAGGTCGGCTTTTTTCTTGAGGTCTCGATCTTGTATCCATGACTGTTATAAAGATTACATACCGTGTATAAAGCAGCAATACATAAAAAGGAGATCAATGTTATATCGCACATACACAAGTTATGCATAAATATAGTAAAATGTATATTGACATGGTAAAGCTAAGTCTGTTTAATAAAAAGTTTTCTTGCTTGATATTTCTATGGATAATTAATTTCTGATAATATAGTCGGACCAATTATGCCGATATCAGTTATGTATTTATTAAAATGACATTTGGTCCCTTGTTGAAGTTTAAGTTATTACAATATGTATGTGTCTTATTACATTGTACATTTCTATATAGTACCAATAAGGGGCAACAACAGTGAACCCATATCGTATAGAATGGAACAGTCTTATTGTGAGTAATGAAAAGTCCTTCCGCAGAGAAGCCCGACACGAAAAAGCATTCGTTTGGATGCATAAGCGAATTTGCTGGGAACAAATTTACAGTGAAACCTTCCGACTTAACATCCAAAATGTCCAAGTTTGTAAAATCGAGGGTTGGCCACATTACCTACAGTGTAACCAAACTGAAAGAAATAGATCTGATGCTATAACCTACCCTGTCTAATATTTCTGAACATTTACCTTGTCATAGAGAAATGGCTCTGACCTTCTAATTACCTTGTCTGTGGTCCTAGAGAAATGGCTCTGAACCCTCTGGTTACCTTGTCTGTGGTCCAAGAGAAATGGCTCTGACTCCTGTGATAACACTGTCTGTGGTCGCTTTACCTACCCAGTCTAGGAGTAGTGATCTAACGCTTTACCTACCCAGTCTAAGAGTAGATCTAACGCTTTTACCTACCCAGTCTAAGAGTAGATCTAACGCTTTGACCTACCCAGTCTAAGAGTAGATCTAACGCTCTTTTACCTACCCAGTCTAAGAGAAGATATAACGCTTTACCTACCCAGTCAAACAGTAGATCTAACGCTTTACCTACCCAGTCTAAGAGTAGATCTAACGCTTTACCTACCGAGTCTTAAAGTAGATCTAACGCTTTTACCTACCCAGTCTAAGAGTAGATCTAACGTTTAACCTACCAAGTCTAAGAGTAGATCTAACGCTTTATCTACCCAGTCTAAGAGTAGATCTAACGCTTTTACCTACCCAGTCTAAGAGTTGATCTGACACTTTTACCTACCCAGTCTAAGAGAAGTGGCTCTGATCCAAATTGACACAACAGCTCCACGGCGGCAACATGTTTGTTCCTTACAGCATACTCCAGTGCAAGCCGCCCAGTCTGTATAACCAGCAATTATATAGGTATGTTACTGTATGTACACTGAGTCCATGTGTAGTAGCACACGTTAACAACCATCCTCAATGATGGTAGTCATCCTAACTTTATTTCAAGGTGATATTTTGTCAAGATTTGTTGACCCCTTGTACTATTTTGTCAGGGTGTGTGGTATATTTTGTCAATGTTTGTTGACATATTGGTATATTTTGTCATAGTGTGTGGTCAATATTGTCAATATTTCCGTTATATCATGTCAACCATTTGATCTAATATACTGCTGTTTATGTCTTTCACCAAACTAACATCTCAATGCAGCAACTTGCATTGCTAGTGAGTAATTTGCATAGGTATAAACATAGAAATGTTATTAGAAAAGGAAACAAATATCCCTTAGAAACACGTTTGTTACGAACGAGTGCGTAATTATTTAAATCTAAAATAGCGGGTCCAAAGTTACAATAGAACGATAATTATTTTATATAAAATAACGTTTGTTGGTACTCTTTTTAAGATGTCTAAACGTAATTAGGTATTTCTATGCATTCATAGTCCTATGATTGCCAGATAATTGTGGAATTGTTATAAAGGGGGTAAATATTCCATCATATTTTTTCCTAAATAGCGATTGGATTATCTACACACATACTGGTATATGTACATGTACTTGTTTCATGATGACCGTTAATCGATTCGCCGCGTGACCTCTTGTCAATTGTAATACGTTGTGCAGCACTATCGTAGTTAGCAAACAGCACTCACGATATGCTATATAGCCACAGCACTAACCTTATCTCAAGAATGATAATAAAGTATACAATTACTGTGGAAAGGACGAGACAAATTTATCACTCACTATCACAGAAAAGCAAACAGTAGCACTGTTATATTCGAAGTATCTGAACATATATATAGTAAGACAGGTGTTAAATTAAACCCTATTTTGTTATTTTTTGTTTTTAATATTTTAATCTACAAAATCGTTCTGCTGTTTTAACATGCAGTTTCGATTTTTTGACAAGTCATTTACTCACCCTGTCAATTATATCTACTCTAGCGCCCCTAGCGACGAGGGTAACTATGGCGAGCACGTGTCCCTGCATGGCAGCCCTGTGGAGTGCTGTCTGACCGTTCTGAAATCAACGAAGAATTAAGAATTGACCTAACAGTTTTTGACGGTTGACACATGTAGTAAAGAAAATGTTTATAAAACACCTGGATCTGCGTTCGTTTCTCTTTATTCTGTCTTTCTCTATGTAATGGGTTTCCCCGCTGTGCACGTTCATATTGTTCTTGTCTCATTGCATCGACTTTGAGTGGGAATCGTACATATGTGTCTTGTTTTTCTACATGTAAATTCCTTAAGGCTTTATTGCTATAAAATTGAATAACGGAAGAGGGCGTATATGCTTTTTTTCATTACAAATGTTTTATTTCATTAGCAGTAATTCTTATTATATGTTTTTATTACATACTTACTAATAAATACGAGAGTTTTTGTATATGCGATACGACACAATTGCTCTAACCCATATCAGCCCTCGCCGTATCACACCCCAAAAGCCGTATCAGCCCCCGCCGTATCACACCCCAAAACCCGTATCAGCCCGCAAAACCCATATCACACCCCTTTAGGATTTTTTTTCGTTTTTCAATAATCCAAAAAAAACCCAAAACAAACATAAGATAGTAGTTTTTATTAGAAAGTGAATTTCATGCTTAACCCATACGTGACTTACATTATCCCATGCGTACGTCTTGGCCCCCTTTTCAAGCAGTAGTTCTATGATGTCCGTATAACCTTTCTGTGCTGCATAATGTAATGGAAGACATCCGGTCTGTAAAAATAATCAAGAAAGAAATCATTAAAATTGTTTCCGTAGCCGAACAACTGGACGTGTCATATAAAAGTGAGAACTGACTGAGCGCTGACCGTGACACATGCGTCACTGCACAAAACATAAATACTCGAATGCATGCCACTCGGAGTTGTTCATAAATGTAGCTTTTTATATTGAAAAAAATATCAATATAAAAGATATGAAACAGATTCTCATTCTATATTCACTACTAAATGTCTTTAAATCCAAGTAGGTAAATGGATTCTACCACAGCATTCGTTCTTCATCAGCCTATGGTGTTTTTATGTCGCATTTTATTCGATATTCACGGGCTTGCTCAAAATATTTCAAATTTCTTGATTGAATGCTGAGCGGCAGAATTACAAGATAGTGTGTCTATGGAATACAGGTTAAGAAGAATACGGGCGAGTGTAATGGCAATCACGATCTCATTGTAATTCTTTTTTTTCTTTTTCTTTTTCAGCTTTCTATTTACGTCTTTGTGAGAGTTTTTGATAATGCTCATTAGTGTGAATTGTGGTCATGTTTTGGATTTAAGAAGAAGCTTTTCATGAAGCGAGGATGAGACAGACACTTACCTTTTCGGAACATCCTCGTACTTTTATAGGGTATTCCTGTTACAGTTAAACTTTCTTTTGTTATTATGATTGATAATACCACGACTTAGATAAAAAAATCTAATTCCGTGATAATACTTAATAACATTATTCGCTTCAATAATCACGTGTCAGATGGTTTGTTTGGTATTTGTCCAGTTATCTATAGCAATATCCATATGGATGTTAATTTACCATGACTTACATAAAGTTTGTGTAAATACTTACATCATTAGTCGTGTATATGTTTTACAAAATCGTTTTCATAAAAAGACAACAACATTTTTTTTTTAAGAAGAAGGTGAGTTTCTATTATGTTACTTCTTGCGAGTAGGTTGTTTACACATGCATATGTGGTCCGACTGGTTTGGTATGGTTCTACTAGCGGCCACATCATAAAATATGTTCAAATGGTATGTTAACGGTGGAGTTACTATCACAAAGATACACACACTACATAATGTATAATACACGTTTTTGGCAGAGAATAAGCAGCTTACTGTGTAACAGGGGCCAGACCAATGATATGTATTTTTGTTTTTTTTAGATTTACTGATAACAGTTATACAAACAGTTCGATTTCAGAACTGGCAGTATACTACACGTCACATGTGTAAACAGAGGACGTGATATGATTAAAGACAGCCGAGTAAAGGACCAGGATAACGTGTATATATCACAGTGCCTACCTGGTCTTGGAAGTCTACACCGGCGCCTTCTTTTAGTAGCTTGATCGCCTCCTTTGGTTTATTATCACGTAAGGAAAAAAGCAACGCACCCTGCAAAAGAATTCACCACATTCAAATCAATAGATGTTTTGTCGTTGAGACTGCTTAAATAAACAAATGTGTAGTAATAATGTTTGTATTTAAAAAAAAAATCTACACCAATAAAACCTGTTTGTTAATATGTGTTAAAGTGGTATACCATCAATGGCGATGGCTACATCTGAAAGTCAATATACATTTTATATGAAGAGAGAAAGTACACAACTGTAAAATGTATGACATTAATTTGATGCAAAATTGAGTTTTATGAAACCATTGTTTTAACTATGTTTTTCATCTTATTTTTAAAATGGTATTTCATCACTTAAAGGAAATGTGAGAGATACAATGTACACAAGAAAATTCAACGACTTTATGTTAAAATAGGGTTCATAGGCATTTATCAATAACAAATTGATTTACATGAAATTTTATATCCCTACCGAACTAATTTGACTATCTAAGAATGTCTTTTCGTATTGCTAACAGAGACAAAGAAACTGAGAAACACTGCGAAACTGTCAACAAAAGATTTTGCTACTGGATACTTATAAATTTAAACCGTGACAGAAATGTTTTATTTTTAAAAGTGAAATATTTATTTTGCAGTAACATTTTAGTAAGTAAAAAGTGTTTAATTGCAAAAAAACACCACTCAAATTTAAACTGTTGTGGTTTATTTATGTTGGTTAAACGATGAACATTCTTTAGAAATGTATATCACAAGCAATTTCATAAGCAATGAAAATATTTGATGTTCTTTGAGTACAACTTGAGAAGAAATCGATATATTTTTAATACAAACGTTTATTGAAATCAATCTGGTTGCGTTAGTGTATGCAATGAACGACAATGGTTTAAATATTCTTAACAGTGCTAAGCTTGGGTTTCAGCCAGAAGTCCTCTCACGTAACCTTTCAGTTATGTGACTATATAATTGGAACATATATTAAATCGACATTCGTCGTTCTAATAGGCCAATGTAAGAAACAAATTATTGGAAAACGCTTTGCCTGTCATTCAATTTACTGACCAGAATATAAACATGTTTATGTACTCATTGTCTCATTGTTGAATTCGTCCATTTATTAACTTTTACATTAGAAAGTCTAGGTCTAATTATCTGGCAGGTTTTACATAATCGTATATTTTTCTATTGAAGTAGATTAATAGACGGACCACAGCCTACTCTCTGTTGAAATTGACGCGTAACACTTGTGTAGCACTTTTCACCTTGTCACGATAGCCCTTATCACAGATCCCTCCAATGAGAAAAAAAACAAAATAAATATTATATCCGTATGTTTTATCTATGAATTGAAATGAAATCTGTCTAACATTATAACGGTCCCGTATTTTAGTAGATGAGTTTTGCCTGAACCATGTGGTATATCACAATACTGTCATAACAAGACGCATTAAGTCCTTATATCCATGTTCAAGACAATGTTTTTTTTTTCAAATCTTTCTATATGGATTACTTTGGTCGATGATTCAACGTGTTTGATTAAATAATAGAAATGTTGAAGAAGAATAAGATTGTGTTTGTGTAGGGTTATCGTATGCAAAATGTTTTGTCCAGAGATTTGGCATGAAGAATCCTCTGGCCTCCCCTTGTACCAATACACCTTCCCCAGCCACCGGTAACTGGTCTTAAAAGGTACAATAGGATCCCACCGCTACCACCAAAAGTGACGCTGGATTGTTCGCCCATCCAGTCACTGACCACTTTAGATATTGCTTTACTATTGAACGAGTCCCCCAGTTTTACTGAATTGCATTACAACGCAAACAATACTGCATTAAGTGTTATAAGTATATGTACCTTGCTTTGGAATTTGACTATCAATATTAAAAACGTTTTCAGTTCCGCACATTACACATATTAACAGAATTTTGAAATTTGTGAATACAAATATAAATAATAATAAAACAAATAAACGATGCTTAAATATATAAACAAAATAAACCAATAAATAATAGCTAAATAAGGCATAGCAGACGTACGAATACAATTTCACTTCAAAGAAATACGAAGCAGTTGACCGTAGAAGATCGAAACGGAAACTTGTACAAATGGTGATGTTCGTAAATAGTATGTGAATTTTCGTGACAATCAGATATCGGATAAAATATGGAGTCTGTAGAATGGCGATGTCGAAAAGTTTATCAAAGTTAATTTTTAGTAACAGTGTTTTTTTTCACCACAGAAGGTCGAATGCAAACTTTACAATTGGTAATGTTTGTAAACATATGTTTGAAGTTTCGTGACGATCGAAAAAAAAAGTTTGTAGAGCAACTTCAGCCAAAGTAATAGTAACATTGAATTAACTTTCTACTGCAGCAGATCGAAACGCGAACTCGTACAAGAAGCGATGTTTTTGAACACTTGTGATGAGTTTCGTGGCGATTGAACAAGAAATGTGCCTTTAGAGCGGAAACGTCGAAAATTCTATAAAATCTTATTTATAGACACAGTGACCTACTTTTGACAGCAGAACTACGCATTACCATTCGAGGTGATGTTTGTGAACATGATTGTGAAGTTTCCTGACATTCAGATAAGAAATGAAGTTTTCTGGGCGTTAACGCCGTATGGGGCACGTACGAACGTAAGGGCAGATTCCTATATACCCTAAACGACTCGTTGTAGGGGGTAATTAAATCACAATTGTAAACAGCAGAACACATGGTGCAGTATGCTGTTATATCTTACTACTTTACATGAGCGTGGGCAAACACAGTAGTCTACCAATAACTCTGATCTAGGTTTATTGTGGACCATGATTAATCTTAGGGTCACAACAAAAAACATGTCTCTTTACAACAACGTCAATTATTACGCAGTCCTATCTGCCTGGTTTGGCCAACACAGCATATCACATGGATCTACCATACTAATTTGGACAACGTTAGTTATTTCCGGTAGAACGAATATACTTACATTATGCAGTCGATATTAATACGGGTAGCTTTGCTTGGTCGTGCGAATATAGTAAATAATACAATGTACACGTGTTTGGTAAGGAGAACATTGTCTGTAAATATTCGCTAGAATAAACAATACCGGCGTCTGACGACCTTATAGCAGGTTTCTTTTATGACAAAACAACAATGCACCTCCCTAAATAGCATGGTCTGGACACATCTGATATTGATTTATCGATATGCGCAGTACCTATAGAATAAGAATTAGGTTAAACTCACAATCTTACAAATAAAAAGGTACGTGCACGTGATTGTCCATTTTACTCCACCTACCTTGAGGTCACGGCCATCCTCTGGTTGTGGTGCTACTTCTGTCATTTTCTCATCTGTGTCTTCCAGTGGTATTTGTGCCTAGTAACTGTCGGCAGTTTGGGTGCACTAGCCCCACTGAAAAGTACGTAACAACTGTCGATCTGCGGGGGGTGTTTTAACAGCCGATCTGTGGAATAGTCCAGTCCCTCCAACACATAATACGGTGGTTTAAGATGTTCCTGGTGTGACTAAATGTCACAAGACCACGTTCATAGTGTCAAATCCGTCCTTAATTTGTAGACAATGCTGAATTGATATATTACACTGTTAAATGAGGCCGTTGTGCATTATAATTGTAAACTTATTTAGGGCCTACCAGGAAGTTTATTCACCGATATCCATGGTCTGCTATTGGTCGACGGTAACACAGTATCACTGTGTACGCATGACACACAGCTATTGTCCGATTTGTATTTAAAAAGCCTATACGGGTGATTACGTGTCATTATGTGTGTATTGTCCATATTTACCTGGTATATCTGTTAGCTATATGTGACTAGCTAGGGACTGTACTACAGAATACCTGAGAACGGTAATTCTAAGTATAGTCTCCGTCATAATGCTACTACCTTATAGCATTGTATAATCAACCGTAACAAACATATCTAGCAGTGTCGTCATTTAAACACCAGTAGCCTTTTTACAAGTTCAACCATTTCATTATAGTTTGACCAACCTTTGAAAAATTATAATTATCAGATACTGACGAGAAAAAAATAATGAGATCCATTCTTTGTGAGGACACCATATCGTTCGGGGAACTGACTCGAGGGCTCCCCAACCCTGACAGTTCCTATCAAATGATTCATATAAATTTGTATATACTTATCAGTATACTATCTATTAAAAAATATCGACATCGATTTTATGGACAACTCGTACACATTTTACAGCTTCGTGTGCATACGCTTCAGTGGCCATTTGTCTGAAGAAGGTGACAGTGTACATATCGTACTAGTCACCGAAACGTCACATAGAAAATGTTATTGGTTGTGTATAAAGAACATCTCATAATCCATACTTACCAACATGAAGAAAATGTTTAGAAGTATACTATATACTTATAATGTATCATGACAACATCACTTTCTGTGTTGTGTTGTTGCCATGTCAACATGAATAAACAGTTCCCCACTGATGAACCTCTAAAGAGGAGAAAGCACCAGGGAAGTCGAAGAAACTCTTGTCTTTTGTTTTATATATATATTTTTGGCTGGGGGATAAATATTGGGGGAAAAACCATTGAATCATATACATATACAACTCTCACTTTACGCATTATAGAGTAAAGGTTACGGCACACGTATAGTGTAGTTTATCAGAAGTACAGCTATTACACTTGCCACAAAGCCGGTAAATTTTACAGTTAAGCGGCCGACAGATTCTGTTGATGTACATGAGAGTATCAAACTAGTCTTCTCATCTCACCCACAAGGTAGCGCACACTGAGCCTTCGGTTTTGCTATCACATATTCTAGGGTGCAGTGAGTGTAATTTGGTGTAGCTCCTGGAGAATTAAGGATGGACTTTCTTGTGAAAATAAACACATGCTAAATGTATTTATTATGGTATTGTTAAGTCATTATGCATTATAAGTATATTGCTATATTATCCAGTTTCTTCCTGTATCGTCCCGCTACATTACTGTAGAAGAGGTATTGTATCCGGGACCTCTGGGTTTCTAGCCTGATGCGTTATCGATGAGGCTTAAAAATCCCCGCTCCCAATTAAGCCACCCGTGTTCGTCCTGGAAGTTTCTAGTTGTAACCGCCGTGCTTGTGAGAGACAGGCAAAGTGTTTCTGTTAATAGTTGCCTTGCCGACTAAGTCGGTGCCAATATGGCAGATTCCTTTATTTTAAAAAAACCCAACATCAGCTTGAGATCGAACCTAGGACCCCTGGTGTACAAGTTTGACGCTCAATGGAATGAGCTCAAGGTGACTTCTCTCTAGCCGGGTCGGTAGATAGCGGCATGGGTTGTACACGTGGGTGTCATTTAATATGTACCTCAATTTTAGTGTTGTAAAAATAATAACTCTTTAAAATTATTTATTATTGACAGCATATTCAATGATGCATGCTTGTTATAACTATATGGAGGCATATAAACTGTATCGAGTCGTAACTCGATACAACTTCATTGTTCGGGCTGACGAATCCCGGCTGGCACCGTCGCAGTGCAGCCATTGCTCTATTACAGACGTGTTTGGCTGGTGCTGTTAAGAGTCGCCAAAACACATTGTGTGACCAAAACTGTAACTGTGAGGAGGTATCAGATAATTTAAGCATGCAAAAAGTCGAGGAATCAGAAGATGCCAGGAAACGAAAGGTAATATTCAGACGTGGAGCTTTTTACATCAACAGAATGGTTTCTTTTGGAGTTGTGTTTTATATCTTTAGAACTGATACTATCACGATTATAGAAATGTGAAGGGCCGTTCACGCTATTAGGAGGTTGTCTTACCTTTCAAATTACAAAAAAAAAACAGGGGATTGGCGCACCTGCTAGCTGTATACAGGTACATATGTATTACATGTCCAAATGTTGTAATTTTAACCTTCAAAGTATACAACCAATACCTGTAAACTTCACTTTGGTTTTATTCCACCAGATCATTTACTGGCAATGTGTATGTATCTTCGAACATCATATGATTGCTTAACATGCGTTTTAGTCGTAAATACTTAAAATTATTCAAACGAATATTGCTTTAATTTTACCTTTCTGGTGGTTTGTTCGAACGTTATTCTTGTTAACATGAGACTGACTAACGGGTAATATTTTTATATTATTTTGTAAGCTTCTGAGCTTGAGCAAACCTGTTATGATGAATACTTCCATAACGGCTCGAACTTAATCTTGTTTTTTTTTTATTCTATCCCAATTGGTAATTTAGATTAGCTTGTAAAATGTCCAGCCGACTACCCCCATCTCTGTCTTTACGCAAAAAGATACATAGTTGAAGAACCCCTAACCGACTTCTGTTCCTATTATCCAAAATACTTGAATGAACAATTATCAAACGAACATAGAAACTTCTTGTTGAAAACTTTCTGACTACATACATTTGGCTCACTGTCCATGCTGTTAAACTGGAACCGCTAGAGCAGTATACAGTATATCTTATTTATTTACAAATAAGAAATATTTGTCGTACATAATTACATAACGTTACGTATAAATTATGACAAAACTCTTGAACTAGGTGTTTGGCTTCAGTAAGTCGGTGAGGCAATTAAATGCATGTTAATCAAAACCAAAGGCACTAAATATGATCATTTCTAAAATAAAACGTTTCTATCAGTCACACGATCACATATCCCGACGAATGACGCAACTTCAGTTATTCATATTGAGTGTTTTAAAAAACCATTTATAAAGCACAGCAACGATGTAAGATATATTGTCTGAAGGTCTCTTACATGTATGTAATAAACTAACATCTTATTTGTATATAATGAACTGACAGAGAGGACCGACATATATATATATATGCCTGTTGCCAAATTCCTTTGGTATTTGAAATCGGCACTAAAATATTCTGAAAAAAAAAGAAAACATTAAAAATCAGAAAAAAACACTACTTATTTGAATGTTATATGCTACTGTTGTTGTCAATGAGTTATTTCGAACACTTAACAGACCTAGTCTGCGGTTCGAACAACTTATCTTATTGATTTAACAAGATAATATGCGAAATTGGAATGCCATTGAATTTCTGGAGCAAAGTTACACTTGAGTTAATTACAACACAACTAATTACCAAGGAATACTCAGTGAAAAATTCTGAAATGGCTGTTGGACTTTTGACACATAAATCTCGTCGATAATTTTGTAGCTTTGTATTTGTGATTAAAATGATTACACCTACAAAGTTTTGTTCAAATCTTATGATAAAGGCAGACGTCTTGTTGTTACAAAACAGGGTCTTGCCATTGGTCGCTTTGTTAAAGTAGAATATGATCACTGCGTGACTGTTTGACCTTTCGAACCCCGCGAGATGTTATTTAAACATTTGTCTGAACGTTTCATTAGATAATAACACTTGATACAATTATCAACATATCTAATCAGGCACTTGTTTATATTTTAAATATCTTGCAATGCGCAAATAGGATTTTTTGCGAACTACAACATAAAATGATTAATATATTTAAGAATTCATACACATATTTCATTACAAGCCACACAATATATAGAGAATAATACATGCCCTTTTCCATAAATGCTATGGATATTATTAAACAAAGACTTTTTGATTGTTGTGTACAAGGAATAAGGAGTCAGATAGCTGAATCGACCAAATGTAGTATGTATAGACACCTAATATGTGCACAAAGTTTTGATATGCAAATTTATCTCGGGAAACCTATCCAATTCAAGTACAGAAAAGTCATTACGAAACTCAGAATGTCCAGTCACCAGTTAGAAATTGAGCAAGGTAGATATATAAATGTACCAATGAACTTAAGAATCTGTAAATTATGCAATTTAGATATTGAGGACGAATAACACTTTGTGCTTAAAGGTCCATCTTTTCAGATAATTAAACATATTCACATGAAAAAATATTATTGGTCGAAACCCAGCATGTTTAAATTCATCAGTGTTATGAACTCTAGCAATATATCTGATTTATGCAAATTTGGAAAGTTTCTGCACAAATCATTTATGTTGAGAGAGATTCAAAAACAAATTTAAATGTATGAACTAACAACAATGCGTTCTCCTTCAATACATTATTTTTATTAATTTTTCTTTAACTAGTATATCACTGATGATGTACATTCATTCAAATATATGTCACTTATTTTATAACTAGTATATCATTCATTCAAAATACATGCCATTTATTTGTTTACACATACAAACTGCCGCCCTGGTAAGCATGTATTGAAAATGTATGGATCGTAGTAGTATCCTGTACCTATAAGCTGTAAACTTTTGGAAAATAAATTGAACATGACCATATCACACCCAGTATCCACCCGAGACTGCAATATCAGCCCGAGGGTCAGATATTGGTCGAGAGTTGATACTGGGTGTGATATGGAAAAATGCATGTTTTATTCTGTTTATTACATACTTACTAACAAAACACTGTATTTGTACGCTCATCAAGCTCTCAGGATAATTAGTTTTTAAAACCCACCTCTTCCCATCCTTTCTGTCGTCAATATTTTGTTTCTTTATTTTAAAGGAGCGTAGGTTGTACAGATGTAGTGTTAAACATTGTCCAATATTACTATGTACTGTGTATCATTAGATGTATACAATTTGTAACCTGGCAGGTTGTTGCTAGTTTATGTGGAAGTGAGACAACATTTGCCGTCTTGTCAAATCATTGGGTAAACCTACCTCCCCTAATTAACAGGGTTGGGGCAGCCGGCTCGCAGTAATCATGTAAAGATGGGTTGGCAACCCCACCATTGACCAATATTTGGCGTTTTTTGGCAACCCCACTAGGGCTAGCTGTTATAGTTTGTAGTAGTGGCTAACATGCGTGTGTGGTGGCAGCTACTGGGTTATTCAATTTTTCATATAATTTCCCATATATTATTGATTTTATGTTTGTTATGAGTGCAGGGCCATAACAACTATTACATTTTATCTTATTATCTATTTTTCTTTTGAAATATTGAAAAACGAAAGATTTCCAAAAGGGGTGTAATACGGGTTTTGTGGGCTGATACGGAGAGGGCTGATACGGGTTTCGGGGTGTGATACGGCGAGGGCTGATATTGGTTAGAGCACTTGTGTCATATCGCATATACACACAAAAAACGTATTTATTAGTAAGTATGTAACAATTGATAAGAATTTCGCTTATCGGAATATCTCATGTCAAAGGTTTTGTATTTCGGAATACCTCGTGTCATTTTCCTCGCTGAGATCATTTTCTCCGATAACAATGGTGGGAATCTTTCAATTGACATTTGTTTTATATCATTTGTCTGTTTATTCCTATCACATCTACAGATCCAGCTGCTGGCCGCTATACGAGACAAACACAAGCAGGAGGCGTTACAGTTATTGAAAGGGGGCGCTGGTGTGGATTACCGGGATTTGGTAAGGCAGGCCATATCCTTTAAAACATTGAAGACATCCCTCCAAATCCTCCTCCTTTCCCTAATCAACTATCTAATATCAATATTACTGAGCAAGATGTTTATGCCCAACTTCAACTCATTAATTTAAAAAAAGCCTGCTGGTCCTGATGCAATTCATCCTAGGTTTATTAAAGGTGTATCTGAATCTCTTGTAAAGCCATTACATATTCTTTAAATAAATCAGTGGAATCTGGTCAATTACCTAAAGTCCGGGAAAATGCCAATGTCACAGCTGTATATAAGAGCAAAGGTGCGAGAAGTGACCCATCAAGCTAGACCTATTTCTAACACTCCTCTGTTTGGTTAAATGTTTGAAAGAATTATGTTCAAATATTTGTTTAACTATCTTTCAATAAATCATATATTTTCTAAGAACCAATCTGGATTCCTCCCCAAAGATTTTACACTTAATCAGCTATTGCTATATATGATTCAATTCTTAAGCAACTTGATAAAAGAAAAGAGGCCAGAATTGTGTTTTGTGATATTAGTAAGGCCTTTGATAGGGTCTGGCATGATGAACTTGTGTACAAATTGAAAAATATAGTATGGAAGACAATTTTCTTAATTGGCTTTCTAATTATTTAACTGATAGACAGCAAAGAGTAATAATTATGGGTACACGTCTTCCTGGCGTACACTTACAGCAGTTGTCCCACAAGGCTCAGTCATTGGGCCATATTTATCTATATATAAATGACTTAGAAAAAGAAATTTAGTCAAATGTGAAAGTTTCTGCAGATGATACCTCACTGTTTGTACTTACTTATAGAAAATGATAACAATGCTGCTGCTAAAACAATGATCTCAATAGAATATCTATTTGGGCTCATAGATGGGGTATATTATTTAGTCCTGGTAAAACAGAAGCTCTTCTTGTATCAAATAAATTAAATGCAGATGAAATGCGCTCTGATCTCACATTTCTTAACAATTCTGTGGTAAATGAAAAACAGCATAAACATCTGGGTATTTTTTTTTTTACAACCATGGTTTGACGTCTGATCACAACAATTTCTTATATAATAATACATGTAATAAGATGCATATATTTAGATCACTCAAACACAAACTTGATATGAAATCTCTAGAAATGATATACCAGTCATATATTCGTCCAAATCTTGAGTATGCTAGTGTTGTATGGAATAATTGTAATCAAACTGAATCAGATATCCTTGAATCTATCCAGCTAGATGCTGCTAGAATAGTTACTGGTCACCAAAGAGGTACTAGTCATGAAATCATCTATAATGAAATTGGATGGGATACTCTTAAGAAACGTAGTAAGGATCAGCAGCATAAATTGTTTTTTTAAAATAATTAACCATGTTAGTCCTCATTATCTTTTTGAAATTGTTGAACCATATATAGTCAGCAATGAAGCTATGACACATCATGTCCGACATCAACGTATATTTGAACCACAAATTTGTAGATCTAATGCATATTTCAACAGTTTCTTTCCTAGCATAATGTCTTGGTGGAATAGACCTGAATGTAACTATTATAATTTGAGATCTACTAGTGAACTCAAAAAACAACTTGTTCATCATGCCATACCCCAAAATAATGAAGATATATGTACTAAGATTTTTGAATATGGAGGGACTAGATCTTTTTACATAATATTATGTCAACTTCGAAATCGTGCAAGTCAATTGAACTTTGATCTCTTTAGAGACCATCATAATGATAATCCCTCCTGTATATGTGGTTACAATAATGAAGATGTGAGTCACTTCTTTCTGCATTGCCCTAGATATATGACTCAAAGACAAAATATGACAATATCTCTGTCTCATTTACAGCTTGACACAAACTTAAATTTACACTTAAACTTGGACCTAAACCTTTATGAACATATAATGATGTATGTTAATATACTGACTATAGGAAGTAGTTTCCTTAGTAAATATCTTAACTCTGCTATTCGTGTTTTTGTTCAGATTATATAGAATTAACCAACAGATTTTATGTATGCATGTATATGTGCATGTATGTATGTGTATGTGTGTGTGTGTGTGTGTGTGTGTGTGTATGTGTGCTTGTGTACATGCATGCATGTATGAATGTATGAGTGTATGTATGTTTACATATGTATGTATGTATGTATGTATGTATGTATGTATGTATGTATGTATGTATGTATGTATGTATGTATGTATGTATGTATGTATGTATGTATGTATGTTGTATGTATATATGTATGTATGTATGGTGTCTCCTATACATCATTGGCACTGATCTAATTCTTATGTTCCTAAAGCATGTTCATTATGTAAATATTCATAGTTCATTATATTGCTATTGTTTGAGATGTACCTCCTGGGAGAGGGATTGTTTAGGCTTTGCCTGTTGCCCAATTCCCATTAAATCTGATTGATTTAATAAAATATTTTGAAGTGAAATTTGATTCATTCATTTATTGATGCCAGTTCAAATAGATATATTTGACCCTCCAATAGGACATTTCATTGTGATCCTTTTTCCAGCATCAGGTAAGCTCGTCTTTAGTAATGACATCCCTGCTCCCCGATCCTACAGTGCTTACATGTCGAATTTGATGCAGTAGTCAAGAGCATACTCCTAATGTCATGATTTCTGTGACAGATGTCGACTATCGACGCTGGTTTTCTGTGACAGATGTCGACTATTGACGCAGTTTTCTGTGACAGATGTCGACTATTGACGCTGGTTTTCTGTGACGGATGTCGACTATTGACGCTCGTTCTCTGTGACTGATGTCGACTATTGACGCTGGTTTTCTGTGACAGATGTCGATTATTGACCCTGGTTTTCTGTGACAGATGTCGACTATTGACGCTGGTTTTCTATGACAGATGTCGACTATTAACGCTGGTTTACTGTGACAGATGTCGACTATTGACGCTGGTTTTCTGTGACAGATGTCGACTATTGACGCTGGTTTACTGTGACAGATGTCGACTATTGACGATGGTTTTCTGTAAAAGATGTCGACTATTGACGTCCATTTTCTGTGACAGATGTCGACTATTGACGCTGGGTTTCTGTGACGGATGTCGACTATTGACGCTCGTTCTCTGGGACTGATGTCGACTATTGACGCTGGTTTTCTGTGACAGATGTCGATTTTTGACCCTGGTTTTCTGTGACAGATGTCGACTATTGATGCTGGTTTTCTATGACAGATGTCGACTATTAACGCTGGTTTACTGTGACAGATGTCGATTATTGACGCTGGTTTTCTGTAAAAGATGTCGACTATCGACGCTGGTTTTCTGTGACAGATGTCGACTATTAACGCTGGTTTTCTGTGACAGATGTCGACTATTGACGCAGTTTTCTGTGACAGATGTCGAATATTGACGCTGGTTTTCTGTGACAGATGTTGACTATTGACGCTGGTTTTCTGTGACAGATGTCGACTATTAACGCTGGTTTACTGTGACAGATGTGGACTATTGACGCTGGTTTTCTGTGACAGATGTCGATTATTGACCCTGGTTTTCTGTGACAGATGTCGACTATTGATGCTGGTTTTCTGTAAAAGATGTCGACTATTGACGCCCGTTTTCTGTGACAGATGTCGACTACTGACGCCCGTTTTCTGTGACAGATGTCGACTATTGACGCCCGTTTTCTGTGACAGTTGTCGACTATTGACGCTCGTTTACAAAGAGTGTAGGTTGATGTAGGTTTTGGACAAGTTTTATGGTCACTGTCATGATCTCATTGGGAAATATGCGTTTTCTGTGTATGATGTGAAAGTCGATTTTTTTTTTATAATAATGCTCGGTAACCACCTAAGTTTGTTGTCACTATCCAGGTTCTGTCTATAATTAGGACGCGACATTAATTTAATCTAGATTTACCCAGCAGATATTATCGATAAAGCAGAAGACTCCTACCGTCCGCGTTGAGTTGAAATTACGATTTTGATTCTCCTTTTGTGTTTAATAGACAATATCGGGCAAGGATATATGACACCTAAGCTGCACGTTTCACGATTGTTAATTACGTAGAAGACTGGCTTCATGTACCAGCCCCTAGTTTTTTATGAAGATTTTCCCACTGCATTTTAATCAGACATCCAAGTGATCAAAATTATAAGCGATATTTTTTGTTTCTAAATAATTTAATACATGTATCTATATGATATTCTAGAGACAGGGGCCAATTCTATCTACGTAGATACGTTAAGGAATTTAATATATAATATAAGTAGTGCACACACATTTTTATGGGACAATAACCGGAATCGCAGTATTTGTATTTCTGCCGATCCATAGCACTTGAGCAATCGTATCGCCTAATCAATTTGCTATAGTTGGAAAATTGCCAATATAACGCTTTAAGTGATTTGCTAACATTGAATCATATTTCAAAAGTATTCATTTTACAACTGTTTTTACCATAGAGTTATCACAAAGTCACTGTCCGCCAGTATGAACAAATATTTATCATATTGCTTCAGCTTACCTTTGTTGATGTATAATAAGTCAGAAATGTCCAATGGTAGGTGCAATGTGTTTATGTTTGCATTGCAGGAGGCATTTAAACATGAATTGCTTAATGTAAATCTGAACTCACTTTATCATACATAAATAAAAATGTTAACACCATATTACATGCGAATTATTTGTTACCGCTATAATACAAGTAATTCAATATTTAATGACTACAGGTAACTCCGTATCACCATGTATATGATAATCATCAAACAACATAATTTAAATGATAAACTAATAAACAAATCACACCATTTAAAAGCATTTATTTATATCTGAAATGGGATTAAAACATGTAGGTAACGAATCGAAATGGACAACAATTCATACACAACAGCTATACCTCCGTTCATAACCTTAAGTGTAATAAATGCATGAAGTTTGTTTTTGCCGATTTTTGCCGGACAAACTTACAATGCAATATCTTAAGAGATACAGGTTGTTGAGGACTATGGGATGGTGTTATGGTCTGAAATGGAAGTATGCTATGATCTTGTGCGATATGATGGTCGATTTTATTGTTCAATGGTGTGTTCTACCTTGTCCTCGCCGCTGGTCCGTTCCTCGCATTCAGGACGTTACTTGGATTTGACTTAGCTTTGTAGATTATACTCTCTCTCTCTCGAGGTTACATCCATATTGCATAAAGCCCGCTTCATGTTTAATATGGATGTAACCGATTTGCGTTTATACAGGCATGCAAATATTTACATTTTCACTGATGAACAATCGCAAAGATAAACAGTCAAATTATTACCCTCGGGTTGTGATTTCCTTGTCCACAGATCACATCCATGTAAGATTCTATTAATATTGTTTCTCTTTAACAGACAGGGTCCTATCCTTTACACTACGCGGCCAGTGAGGGGTATGATGACGTCATCACAGTGCTTCTGGAGAAAGGCGCGAATGTAATGGCTTGGAACAATGTAAGTGAGGAGTACCAGCTGAATGTCAGTAAGTTGTGTCTGTTTCATAATTTATAACAATGTAGGTTGTGTTAGTTTTAAAGACCCCTATCCCGCTGTCGTAAAAAGAGTAGCCCCTTTCAGCGGACCCCATTTGGCGGAGTAATGGCCCCTTGAATAACGAAAAACGTCATTATCTTCCGTTTCTGCTCATTAACTCTCGAAAATAATATCCGATTGTCTTCAAACTTAGTAACAGGGTTCAATGCATTAAGGGCTCAACCAAGTTTGACAACCACTTTAATCGGACTACATTTGGCACAGTCATTATCTGAAGTTTCCTCTTAATCGCTCTAGCAAATATTAGATAAGACTTTTATTTCTTTGAGTTTCAAGCTATACATAATGTCTCAACAGCACATTACTCACATATTTAACCTAACCTCATTAATGTTTACCTACAATATGTCCTGAAAGCGGGGGATATACATTCCACGAATTTGCTTGTTTCGTTTTGGATTTAATTCCATATATACGCTGTATGTAGCGGTTAGGCTAGGGCACTTCCATTGACAAAGAAGACCAGTCAGTTAAAGCGAAAGTATACTAAAGTAAAGTCCAGGGTTCGAATACAGCAAGGAATGGTTTAATATTTTAGAAATTATCCTTGATTATGAGTTACCCGTATCAACTGTGTTAACATAACAATAAGGTGTATCAGCTGACAATTTTGTTATAAGGTAGGTTGTATCAGTTTGAATGTTAACTAATGTTTTCATTAATGCGGTGTATCTTGACCATTACCGTAGAACGGACGGACGGCCGTTCACCAGGCAGCCATGCACGGACATGCACGATCCATAGTGACCCTGGTCGCCGGAGGCGCCGTCGTACGTACGCTTGACCACGTAAGTTTAAATGAAGTTTAACGTTATTCGTTACGATATCACATTATGAGAAGAAATAAGAAGACGATAGTGATTTTAAAAAACCTGAGCCAAGATAGGACATCCCTATTAACGTTTGATGGTGTTAATTCATATCTTCTTGAACAATTTTTACACGTAAGTACACTTATGGATTTAGTCTGATCAAAATAAAGATACTTATGTATTAAGTTTTTACTCAAATGTCTGGTTGTCGATGACTTTACCACCTCTGTAAGAATACTACGGATATGTGAAAGACAACTATAAATTGTGAAATCCTTTTTCAAATTCAAAATTGCTATGTCGAACCTACCTGGAATGATATTTGTGAGATCAGGATCATATTTCTTTGGAAAACTCTTGTAAAGTCCCATCGCGTCTCCTTTTCATGATGTGTAGGCCAAAGTCCGTTATTCAATTTCTGTGAGCGAAAATTTAAAGACCCGCTATTTGTTTTGTCGAAGTCAACTGAGGTGTGCGATTTTTCATGCAATGTGTTTCTGGCGTGTTCGATTTTTTATCCAGATGTGTAAAATTTGAATGTGGTCATGATAACGTATACAACCGTTTTGCTATGTACACAAATAATATAAGTACACTATGTTGACTAGTTTTCTGAAATATTTATGTTAATGCTCGCATGGGTATACATAGTGACATATTCACATCCCCCCCCCCCCCAGCATCACCGATAAGAACCCAATAGACGAGACATGCACAGCTGTTTTAAAGTTTGGAATACTGTATATATCGCAAAATGTTATAGATGTAATCACGTGTGCGTGGCTAACGTTTATCTCCAAAATACAATGTGGTAGACTCGGCTCGTGAATGTTTTAGTCCCCAAGGTTTGCTTGTCACATTGATAGCCACAGTGATCTCTCCTGCGTAATGGCTTGGTTCAAATGTATTCACTCTTTACTCATAATAAATTTGGAGTTAAACAGTATTCCGTCTTTTTTAGATCTATATAATAAAGGATTAAACGCACACCCTGTTCTGTATTAACAGTAGTTTACACCGGAGGTTCACCTTTCTTAGTTTACACCGGATGTTCACCTTTCTGTATAAACAGGAGTGTATACCGGATGTTCACCTTTATGTATAAACAGTAATTTACACCGGATGATCAACTTTCTGTATGAACAGAAGTTTACACCGGATGTTCAGCTTTCTGTATAAACAGGAGTGTATACCGGATGTTCTCCTTTATGTATAAACAGTAATTTACGCCGGATGATCAACTTTCTGTATGAACAGAAGTTTACACCGGATGTTCACCTTTCTGTATAAACAGTAGTTTACACCGGATGTTCACCTTTCTGTATAAACAGTAATTTACACCGAATGTTCGAATTTCTGTATAAACAGTAGTTTACACCGGATGTTTACCTTTCTGTTTAACCTTTCTGTATGAACCCGGATGTTCACCGGATGTTAACCTTTCTGTATAAACAGTAGTCTACACCGGATTTTCACCTTTATGTATAAACAGTAGTTTACACCGGATGTTTACCTTTCTGTTTAACCTTTCTGTATGAACAGTAGTTTACACCGGATGTTAACCTTTGTATATAACAGTAGTTTTCATCGGATGTTCAACTTTGTGTATAAACAGTAGTTTACACCGGAAAGTTCACCTTTCTGGCCACATGGCTTTGACGATGAGTCTTAAACAGATGCTGTATCTCTTCTTTCTTCTTTTTCATTTTTTAGGTATTCCGATTTGGCTCTTCACTATGGTTGTCTAATTATTACAATTATTATAATAAGGCATTGCAATTCATTAGCATACTTTCTTTCTATTTTTGTTAGTATGTGAGAAGTTAGTATGCATGTGGTTGTTAAATTTATTATTATATTTTTTTTGCTCTATATCGTATATATGGTGCTTGGCACCAAACCATTCATCATTGTACTTCTTTTTTTTTTTTTTAATGTTTTCCCTTTTTTTTATTCAATAAATTTTCATTGTCGGTATTTTTCCTTTTTAGAGTTATATTATTTAATTTACATTTCTGGCCACTTGGCATTGACGATGAGTCTTAAACAGACGCTGTATCTCATAGGTATCTCATATCTCATAGGTAAGGCATCACTGGAAAGCCTGTGCCTTGTAATGATGTTATTTATCTGCATTTCGTTAATTGATTGGTTGATGATGGAGTGCGCGAAGAATGGCATACATTGTATGCCATTAAGTTATATCTAGCATCTAGTGTAGTCTAATTGTCGCAATAATATTAATATTTACACATCGTCGATTAAAAGGACGGATACAATTTGTGTGCATGGTCTTTCCAGTGCACGTTTAGCCTATTTTTGTATGATGCAGTGTTATACAATGGCAAACTATACCTATCTATAACAAAATTATAAAGGTGCAATTTTATGTGTCTCGATTCATCTTTGTATCAGACAATAAACGCTTAAACCACTTTAGCACCAAACGTTGTGGTATTCAGCCTAGAATATCAACAACAAAGTTGCACTTCAATGAAATATTTCTTAATTATCGTTTAACTGTTTGTCTCATTTATTTTTTTACAACAGAAAGGATGCCTCGCTCTGGAGTATGCTATCAAAAACAAGCACGTGACTGCAGTGAAGCTATTGTGTCAGTTTGGGTCAGAACCTTTATTACAGGACTGGGTGAGTTGAACCTCAGTTACGTATTTTGGCCGACGTAGGACCTTGATCACATTTGCTTCAATTTTACACTGCTTACCCTTTCGTTTAATTCTTTAAAAAGGAACGTTCAAATCCGCATATATCCTATATTCTTACAGACAACTATTAAGTATACTTTACCCTCTATCAAGCTGTTGGTCTTATACAGAACGGAAACTCTTTTTCCAGTTTCGTTTATTTGATCGGACCTCCGACCTCTGAAATGGGAGCTGATTTTAGTCTTCCCAATAAAGATGAATCATTGAAATTTTCTCTGAAATATTAACAATGCAGTCATAGCAACACTTGTTTTTTGGCAGTCTTGGGTTAGTCAACGTGACCTCAAAAAGAAAAAGGCCGAATATGAAATGGCTAAGATATTACAGCATCAGATCAGACTGATCCCCGGTTACCGGCACACGTGAGTAAACGATAATTTCATATCTAGGTCATGTGACATACACACGTCCTTGAAATGTATTTCAGAAAGAGAACGCTTGATTGTTAGCTATACCAAAACTAGATCACGTAAATTGCATACGAGAGTTTATGATATTACATTACACAATCAGACGAGATTAAACTATTGAGGGCTTCACGTTTTAATCTGAATATTTCTAATATATCATATGTCTATATAAGTATAGGAACATTGATAGAAACTTGCTGCAATCAACAAATGCTCCCTAAAGCTTGATAATTGTCACTATAAAATCAGTAATGCTTGTTTTGGCACAACTGCTGGTAAAGACACTGCCTTTAGACACTGTCTGTAAACGTTACATTTCATACTAAGATAGACAACTCTTGTTTTCATGTAATAAGAAGGCAGTGATTGGCTAAACATGTAATAGTTAGGCAGTGATTGGCTTAACTATTGACTGAACATGTTATAGTTAGACAGTTATTGGCTGAACATGTAATAGTTAGGCAGTAATTGGCTGACCATGTAATAGTAAGGCAGTGATTGGCTAAACATGTCAAAGTTAGGCAGTGCTTGGCTGCACATGTAATATTTAGGCAGTGAATGGCTAAGCATGTCATAGTTAGGCAGTGATTGGCTGAACATGTTATAGTTAGGCAGTGATTGACTGAACATGTTATAGATAGGCAGTGATTGGCTGAACATGAAATAGTTAGGCAGTGATTGGCTTAACATGAAATGGTTAGGCAGTGCTTGGCTGAACATGTAATATTTAGGCAGTGAATGGCTAAACATGTCATAGTTAGGCAGTGCTTGGCTGAACATGAAATAGTTAGGCAGTGATTGGCTGAACATGGTATAGTTAGACAGTGATTCGCTGAACATGTTATAGTTAGGCAGTGATTAGCTGAACATGTAATAGTTAGGCAGTGATTGGCTAAACATGTCATAGTTAGGCAGTGATTGGCTGAACATGTTATAGTTAGACAGTGATTAGCTGAACATGTTATAGTTAGACAGTGATTGGCTGAACATGTTATAGTTAGGCAGTGATTGGCTGAACATGTTATAGTTAGACAGTGATTGGCTGAACATGTTATAGTTAGGCAGTGATAAGCTGAACATGAAATAGTTAGGCAGTGCTTGGCTGACCATGTAATAGTAAGGCAGTGATTGGCTGAACATGTAATAGTTAGGCAGTGATTGGCTTAACATGAAATAGTTAGGCAGTGATTGGCTGAACATGTACTATTTAGGCAGTGATTGGCTAAACATGTCATAGTTAGGAAGTGCTTGGCTGAACATGAAATTGTTAGGCAGTGATTGACTGAACATGTTATAGTTGGGCAGTGATTGGCTGAACATGAAATAGTTAGACAGTGATTGACTGAACATGAAATAGTTAGGCAGTGATTTGCTGAATAGGTAATAGTTATACAGTGATTTGCTTAACATGTAATAGTTAGGCAGTGATTGGCTGAACATGTTATAGTTAGGCAGTGATAAGCTGAACATGTTATAGTTAGACAGTGATTGGCTGAACATGTTATAGTTAGGCAGTGATAAGCTGAACATGTTATAGTTAGACAGTGATTGGCTGCACATGTTATAGTTAGACAGTGATTGGCTGAACATGTAATAGTTAGGCAGTGATTGGCTGAACATCTAATAGTTAGACAGTGATTGGCTGAACATGTTATAGTTAGGCAGTGATAAGCTGAACATGTTATAGTTAGACAGTGATTGGCTGAACATGTACGTTATAGTAAGACAGTGATTGGCTGAACATGTTATAGTTAGACAGTGATTGGCTGCACATGTTATAGTTAGACAGTGATTGGCTGAACATGTTGTAGTTAGGCAGTGATTGGCTGAACATGTTATAGTTAGGCAGTGATAAGCTGAACATGTTATAGTTAGACAGTGATTGGCTGCACATGTTATAGTTAGACAGTGATTGGCTGAACACGTTATAGTTAGGCAGTGATTGGCTGAACATGTTATAGTTAGACAGTGATTGGCTGAACATGTTATAGTAAGGCAGGGATTGGCTTAACATGTAATAGTTAGGCAGTGATTGGCTGAACATGTTCAGCCAATCACTGCCTAACTATTACAGGTTAAGCCAATCACTGCCTAACCATTACAAGTTCAGCCAATCACTTCCTAACTATTACATGTTCAGCCAATCATTGCCAAACTATGACATGTTAAGCCAATCACTGCCTAAATATTATATGTTCAGCCAATACTATGACATGTTTAGCCAATCACTGCCTAAATAGTACATGTTCAGCCAATCACTGCCTAACTATTACAGGTTAAGCCAATCACTGTCTAACTATTACAAGTTCAGCCAATCACTTCCTAACTATTACATGTTCAGCCAATCATTGCCAAACTATGACATGTTAAGCCAATCACTGCCTAAATATTATATGTTCAGCCAATCACTGCCCAACTATTACAAGTTAAGCCAATCACTGCCTTACTATTACACGTTCAGCCAATCACTGCCCAACATGTTATAGTTGGGCAGTGATTGGCTGAACATGAAATAGTTAGGCAGTTATTGGCTTAACTTGTAATGGTTAAGCAGTGATTGGCTGAACATGAAATAGTTCGGCAGTGATTGGCTTAACTTGTAATGGTTAAGCAGTGATTGGCTGAACATGTAATAGTTAGACAGTGATTAGCTGAACATGTCATAGTTAGCAGTGATTAGCTTTGCATGTAATAGTTAGGCCGTGATTGGCTTAACATGTAATAGTTAGGCCGTGATTTGCTTAACATGTATAAGTTAGGCAGTGATTGACTGAACATGTAATAGTTAGGCAGTGATTGGCTAAACATGTAATAGTTAGGCAGTGATTGGCTTAACTTGTAATGGTTAAGCAGGGATTGGCTGAACATGTAATAGTTAGACAGTGATTTGCTTAACATGTTATAGTTAGGCAGTGATTGGCTGAACATGTTATAGTTGGGCAGTGATTGGCTGAACGTGTAATAGTAAGGCAGTGATTGGCTTAACTTGTAATAGTTGGGCAGTGATTGGCTGAACATATAATATTTAGGCAGTGATTGGCTTAACATGTCATAGTTTGGCAATGATTGGCTGAACATGTAATAGTTAGGCAGTGATTGGCTTAACTTGTAATGGTTAAGCAGTGATTGGCTGAACATGTAATAGTTAGACAGTGATTAGCTGAACATGTCATAGTTAGCAGTGATTAGCTTTGCATGTAATAGTTAGGCCGTGATTGGCTTAACATGTAATAGTTAGGCCGTGATTTGCTTAACATGTATAAGTTAGGCAGTGATTGACTGAACATGTAATAGTTAGGCAGTGATTGGCTAAACATGTAATAGTTAGGCAGTGATTGGCTGAACATGTAATAGTTAGGCAGTGGTTGGCTTAACTTGTAATAGTTAGGCCGTGATTGGCTGAACATGTAACAGTTAGGCAGTGATTGGCTTAATATGTAATAGTTAGGCAGTGATTGGCTGAACATGTAATAGTTAGGGAGTGATTACCTGAACATGTCATAGTTATACAGTGATTAGCTGAACATGTCATAGTTAGACAGTGATTAGCTTAACATGTAATAGTTAGACCGTGATTAGCTGAACATGTTATAGTTAGGCAGTGATTGGCTGAACATAAACTAGTTAGACAGTGATTGGCTTAACATGAAATAGTAAGGCAGTGATTGGCTTAACTTGGAATAGTTAGGCAGTGATTGCCTTAACTTGTAATAGTTAGGCCGTGATTTGCTTAACATGTAATAGTCCTAACTATTACATGTAAAGCTGAACATGTCATAGTTTGGCAGTGATTGGCTGAACATATAATATTTAGGCAGTGATTGGCTAAGCATGTAATAGTTAGGCAGTCATTAGCTGAACATGTCATAGTTTGGCAGTGATTGGCTGAACAGGTTATAGTGGGGCAGTGATTGGCTGAACATGAAATGGTTAGGCAGTGATGGGCTGAACATGTTATAGTTGGGCAGTGATTGGCTAAACATGTCATAGTTAGGCAGTGATAAGCTGAACACGTTATAGTTAGACAGTGATTAGCTTTGCATGTTAAGCCAATCACTGTCTAACTCAATCACGGCCTAACTATAACATGTTCAACCAATCACTGCCTTACTATAACATGTTCCGCCAATCACTGTCTAACTCAATCACGGCCTAACTATAACATGTTCAACCAATCACTGCCTTACTATAACATGTTCCGCCAATGACTGTCTAACTCTAACATGTTCAGTCAATCACTGCCTAACTATAGCATGTTCAGCTTATCACTGCTTAACTATAACATGTTCAGCGAATAATTGTCTAACTATAACATGTTCAGCGAATCACTGCCTAACTATTACAAGTTAAGTCGATCACTGCCTAACTATTATACGTTCAGCCAATCACTGCCCAACTATTTCATGTTAAGCCAATCACTGTCTAACTCTAAAATGTTCAGCCAATCACTGCATAACTATTACATGTTAAGCCAATCCCTGCCTAACTATTAAATGTTTAGCCAATCACTGCCTACCTATTACATGTTCAGCCAATGACTGCCTAACTATTACATGCTTAGCCAATCACTGCCTAACAATTACATGTTCAGCCAATCGCTGCCTAACTATTGCATGTGCAGCCAATCACTGCCTAACAATTACATGTTCAGCCAATCGCTGCCTAACTATTGCATGTGCAGCCAATCACTGCCTAACAATTTCATGTTAAGCCAATCACTGTCTAACTCTAAAATGTTCAGCCAATCACTGCCCAACTAACCACTGCCTAACTATTACATTTTTAGCCAATCACTGCCTACCTATTACATGTTCAGCCAATCCCTGCCTAACTATTAAATGTTTAGCCAATCACTGCCCAACTATAACATGTTCACTATTCCATGTTCAGCTAATCACTGTCTAACTATTACAGTTTCAGCCAATCACTGCTTAACCATTACAAGTTAAGCC